GGAGGTGGGGGGAGGAATGAAAGCCAAACCCGAGGCAACTTTTCTGCGTTTCTCTCCCGTTTTCCTGGGTGGAAGGTTTCTAACTCTTCCAGCGCCGTTCGCGCAAAGAATGACACCGTGGAGCTAAGCGGCACTTTTAAATGGGGAAAGACGTGAATTTCTGGAGCCGTGAATTCTCTGCAAAACTGGGGGAGCGAAGACCCGGGCAGGTCGGGGGCTCCCGGGTCGGTGTGAGCCCGGAGAGGGTCGTCTCAGCGGGGTGGGGGGGCTCCGGCCACTTTCCATTCGTCCCCCCCGGGCGAGGGGAATTTGATTAACAAGGCAGGGTTTATGACTTTGACACGGCGGGTTACTCCGGTTAGCCGGATTTTGTGCGCGGGGTGCTGAACCTGTTGGTCGCGGGGCGTAATTAGGTGCGGGGGACTGTTAATTACCCGGCGAAAGCGGAGCTGTGGCTTTCCAGGGAGTTTTTATTGGGAGCGGCTGGGTGCCCTCGGAAGGTGTGGGGGCACAGGAATAAACAGTCACAGGGCCGGGATATATATATATATGTGGCCTCTACACATTCGAGCTTAAAAAAAAAATAAAAAAGAACGTAAAATAAAAAAGGGGGAAATAAAAGGGGGAAAAGAGAGGGGGAAAACCTGAGGAGAAAAAGAGGGAGAAAAAAATCAGGAAAAAAAAATAGAAGGAAAAAAATGAGAAGCCTTGCAGCCTGGCGGGGTGGAAGGGACTGCTCGCTGCTGTTCGCCCACCCGCTCCCTCCGCAGCCACCCCTTCCCCGGGTTATCCGAAACGCATCCCGGTCAAAACACGCACCCCTTGGCCCGGGGGGGCGGTTGATAAACGCCCCGTTTTCCTGGGTGGAAGGTTTCTAACTCTTCCAGCGCCGTTCGCGCAAAGAATGACACCGTGGAGCTAAGCGGCACTTTTAAATGGGGAAAGACGTGAATTTCTGGAGCCGTGAGAAGAGCTTTCCCCTCTCCGAAGGGGGCTCCTCGGCCGGGTGGATCTTTGTTTGCCGCCGGAGGCTCGGCTCACCCCCTTAGACCCTGACAAAGGTGAAGAAATGTAAGTATCGCGGTGCGGGGGTGTGTGGGGCGGAATAGTGGGTCCCGGGTCGGTGTGAGCCCGGAGAGGGTCGTCTCAGCGGGGTGGGGGGGCTCCGGCCACTTTCCATTCGTCCCCCCCGGGCGAGGGGAATTTGATTAACAAGGCAGGGTTTATGACTTTGACACGGCGGGTTACTCCGGTTAGCCGGATTTTGTGCGCGGGGTGCTGAACCTGTTGGTCGCGGGGCGTAATTAGGTGCGGGGGACTGTTAATTACCCGGCGAAAGCGGAGCTGTGGCTTTCCAGGGAGTTTTTATTGGGAGCGGCTGGGTGCCCTCGGAAGGTGTGGGGGCACAGGAATAAACAGTCACAGGGCCGGGATATATATATATATGTGGCCTCTACACATTCGAGCTTAAAAAAAAAATAAAAAAGAACGTAAAATAAAAAAGGGGGAAATAAAAGGGGGAAAAGAGAGGGGGAAAACCTGAGGAGAAAAAGAGGGAGAAAAAAATCAGGAAAAAAAAATAGAAGGAAAAAAATGAGAAGCCTTGCAGCCTGGCGGGGTGGAAGGGACTGCTCGCTGCTGTTCGCCCACCCGCTCCCTCCGCAGCCACCCCTTCCCCGGGTTATCCGAAACGCATCCCGGTCAAAACACGCACCCCTTGGCCCGGGGGGGCGGTTGATAAACGCTCCATATTCCGGTTACTCTTCCCCTCCCGGGACAGGCTCAGCCCGGATCCGGAGCGCAGATTTTGGCGGGGGGGAGAGGGGAAGAAGTGGCTGCCCCGGAGCTCAGGGAGGGCCGGCGAGCAGAGTGTCACCGGCCCCGGGTGTCACCAGAGCGGGGGGGGTTGCCCATGGGTACCCCACTGCATCCCTCCCTCCATCCCTCCCCAAAAAGGAGCATCCTCCGCAACTCCGGTCCGGCCCGGATCCACCGAAAGGAGTGAAACTGCGAAAACGGGAGAACTCGGATGCTCCCTGGGACGGAATAATACTGATAATGTGGGTTTTTTTCAACCGAGGCTGATGTAATCGATGCGATGCGAGCGGCTCACGTCGTGTTTATTCGCCCCAGGGCTGTAAAGCGAGGGAGCGTGTCTTCCCGGTGATCCCGGTTTCAGGACACCGGGCGGCCTGGAGGAGCTGGGAAACGTGTCGGGGAAAAGGCTGGCTTAATGTGTTTTGCATGTTTTGAACTGAAGGCTAGGTGGAGCCTCCATCCTTTATTAAGTAGCTGGCAGCTGATAGTATGCAAATCCTGTGTCTGCCGCCGTGGTTTTCGTCACTCCCGTCCCCAAATAATATCCTTAGCCTTTTATTTTTAAGCGTAGTTCTCCAGAAATAATGATGCAATTAGGTTTGTGTTTGTTTTTTTTTTGTTTTTGTTTTTGTTTTTTGTTTTTTGTTTTTTTAATTATTACTATATTATTCACATTATTTCCTGTGAATATTGACTACCACGGTTAACCCTGCAGATACCGGAGTTCATTACTCACGTCTGTTTTATGCCACGTTAGATCATCTGCAGGAAACGTGGCTGGTTATTTTCCCGTTTAACCTGGAGCCAAGCGTTTCAGCCATTTATTTAATAATCTCCAAAAGTTACCATACTCAGTGCCTCCTGAGCACACATAGGTTTAACCTGTTCACACGCATTTCAAGAGCAAGAACCAAACACTGAAAGTGTTTAAATTATGATCCTTTGATTTTTATTATTTTTTTTTCCTGGTTATTTTTTCAGATTTAGACATCGCAGACAGACCACAGGGAGGGACAATCACAAGAAGCGGTAAATTTTATATATATATTTTTTCCTTTTACTTAATAAAAGTCAGGCGGCACGATATGCATCACCTACAGATATGAATACGTGTTCTTTAACACCACGCAGTGTTTCCATGTGTAATTACTGGCTGTTGGAGGTTTTTGGTGTTTGGTTTTTTTTCTTCCCCCCGCCCCCCGCCCTGAGATTTCGGATTATCGGTAGTCGGCTTGTTCTTGTTTCGGAATTTGGACTTGTATTTGATGTTCCTTGGCGTACCATACGTCCGTGGCGGCAGAGGGACAACCCGCAGCTGCCTGTCAAGTTAAATTGTGGCCAAAAAAGGCACGATGGGGCACCTTGATGAGGAGGCGAGTGGCTTACCTGGCGGGGAGGAAAGGGATGCTCTGCCCTGGGCGGCCTGCCGTGCTTTGCGTCTACCTGAATTTTACCGTCATTTAGCGCGAAAAAAGGGATTTATGTCATGCTACCCCCCTTCTGATGTTCCTCACAGCACCTTTGGGGGGTGAGGGGGGAAGGGAGGGGGGGCTCCTTCGTGTCTCCCCCGCTGGCGGGTTGCTGGCGTTAGGAAAGGGCTCTGATTGAAGTAATTAGAGAATCACAAGCATGGCTTTTTTTTTTTTTTTTTTTTTAAAGTCGATGGAGACTGTTTATTCTTAAGAAATCCACGCAGGATGTTTCTTTTTTACGTCACGGCCATCTGGAGACCTATAAAAAGATTAGAAAACAAGCATGGCAATCACATACTAATGCACAGGCCATTAGCGGGAATTTATCAGGGAGGCAGGAGGAAAAAGTGCAGGTTTGGATTCCGTGCATATTCTCAGAGTATGCAGATCAGTGATTTGGGAATAATAAGTAAGTTTTGTACAATTATGTAAGCTGGGAGAAGGCAGGCTGTGTTAACACTGGCTTTTGGCGGTTCGGGCGATATTTTTGGCAGTCATTTCAGAACCACACGTCGCTTAAACTTCCCACACGCCAGGCAACGTCCTGGAAACGTTATTTTACAAGCGCTGCGCGAGTTGTTGTGATATTCGGAGTGAGGAAATACTTTCCAGCAAGTCCTACCGGACACCCTGTCGGTTTCGAGGCCCTGTTAGTGCTCTGAGAGCTAGGAATTGTGATTGGTGGTATGGCTAATGAGCAGCGAGGTTCTCCCTCCTCACGTTGGCTCCTTTGACTTACCGATGCTCCCGTGATTAATTAACAAAAGGTGATGGGTGTGTGGCGGTTACTTCCCACCTCAGCGTGCGCGCTAAAGGGAGGCGGTGGTGAGAACAGGGCTTGGTGTTTTAAAGGTGTATTTTACATCCACACTTGCAGTAGTACGCCCTGCGTCTCACTGTAAATCCGGCGACATCTTTTACCTGCGTGCATTAACGTATAGATACATACCTATAGAAGCGTAGACACACACACGAGGGGCACTCGGATTTCCACGCCTCTGACTGGAAGAATTTAATGCACAGGCTGGCTCACAAGCCTGTGGTGAGCAGCACATGCCTCATCACCAACGCTGCTGCCCCTAGCTACCGCTGCCAGGAAAGAAAAAAGAAAAAAAACCAAAAAACCAAACAAACCCCACAACCCAAACCCACATCTTTCTGTCAATCTGCCAATTCAGGAAAGCTCATTAGAATTTTGCATAATATCAAAACGATCTTGTGCCTGTGGATGCATCAGATGCCTGGTTGTGCCTGAAGAGGTGATGAAGGAGCCCAAGTAACTGATAATGCAGCTTTATGAGAATTCTGAGCCTCTTGTGCCAAGCTCTTGTGTTTTCCACACAGAACACAGCCACAATTAGCTCTTACGCCTCTCAGCTGCAAAGCGCGGGTGGTAAATTGCAGTGTCCCTCTATACCAGGATATCTAACACCTGGGTTTTTTTTTTTAAAAAAAAAAAAAAAAATGCTCAAAATCTGAGAATCTGCAAGCACAGCTGAGCTGGCCTCGCCGGTAACATCCCTGCCGGATTTGAGATGGGGCAGGTCAGCAACGTCACTTTTGGGTGGCAGTATTAATTTCGAGGCCTTGTCTCGACAAATGAGGATGCTTCCCCATTTTGGTGCTTTCGAAATAATACTAACTCGTGCCCGGTTGTCATTTCGCATCCCCTGCTTTGCCACAAACGCTGACACACGTACACACGGCTCCCCCGTGTACACACCAGCACACGTGTGAGCAGGCTGCATGGTGAGCTGCAGAGCAACCACAACTTCGGTGTAACTCCCCGAGTTAACAAATTTTCCCCCAAAACCAGCAGCGTGGGGTACCCACTGCGGCTGCAGGGGAACGCAGGGCACGGTGCCTGGTGTTTTATTTTGCACCTTTAAAGGGCAGCAGGAGGAGGAGGAGGAGGGATGTCAAAGCGTAATTACTTTAGGAGTGCAGAGCAGCCCATATTCTGACACAGGTTGAGGGGTTTTTTTTCCATCCCGTGTCCTATACCGGCTGCAGCAGGCAGGAGCTGCTGAGGTGCATTTATTAATTTCAGCGGTAAATATGGTAGATCTCGGTGAGAAGATTCATCGGTACCACGTATACTCGAGGGACCTTTGATGTTTGCTCTTCAGTCTTAGGAAAAAAAAATAAATATTCTATACAAATCACGCTGTTAAATAATTCAAAGTATAATGTTCTTTTTCGGGGGGCGGGGGAGGGGAAACTGCGAGACTTAAATCCTAAAACAGTACATAACACGTTTTAACAGTTGGGGAAAGACTTGCCTCCGCGGGTTCCCCCAGTAACGTCAGCCGGCGTGCGTTTCTCCGCTCTGGGTACGAGGTTAATAAAAATAAACGATAAATCAGTGTTTTTATTAAGGCGTTGCGCCAGATGATGTATAGCCCGAGATAAATATTGCTGCAACGTTCACCTGTGCTGCATTGTAACGCAGAGACAGGGAGAGAGACACAGAGAGAGGCTGGGAAAGAGGGAGGGAGGGGGGAAGGGAAGGAGGAGGGGGAGAGAGAGAGGGTATAGATGCTATAAAATACACTGAGCCTGCTGCTCCTGGCTTCCCCAGCAGACAGGCAGAGGAAACACGTCTCGCACAACCGTCCCGGTGTAAACACCTGCAAATAAATCACGGCGAGCGCCGAGCACCGCCGAGACGCGGAGCCATTACCAAAAAAAAAAAAATAAAAAAAATAAAAAAAAGAAAACCAAACCCGAGCCCATACACAACACAGCGGAGGAAAAATGTGACATTTAGAGCCGGAGTCGCTGCGATAGCGCGGAGCTGGGGCCCGGCCTCAGCAAAGAAGCGAGGCCCCCCCTTCCCATCCGCGCAAATCCCGCACCTTCCGCCTCTCCCCGCACCCGGGGAGAGAAACGCGGGGCAGGGGAGCTCCCCGGGCCCGAGAAGGCTTTTATCTGTCCTTAGAGAGAGAGAAAGAGAGCGTTTTTCCTCCATCCTGCGGAGGCCGGGGCGGTGTGCGCGGCCGGCGGGCGGGGAGGCGGAGGCGGCGGCGGGAGGATGCGGAGGAGGCGCGGTTGTTCCCCCCCCCCCCCCTCTCAATTAGCCCCGTGTACTTGAGATTTCTCATGACATCATCATTACCTCGGTCTCCGGCGGGTCCAGGACCTCTGACCTTGCCGGGCTGGTCCACCTTTTTGGCGCTGCAAAAAAAGCCCTTTCCAGTGATGGCCCCTTTTTCTCCTTCTTTCAGAGCGGGGGCAGCAGCAAGCCGGCCAGACCGCCGCCTCCTCCTCCTCCTCCTCCTCCTCCTCTTCTTCCTCCTCCTCCTCTTCTTCTCCCCCAGCTCCGGGAGCCCCGAGAAAGCCGGGATCTTACCCCCCGCCCCCCAAAACACACACACACACGCCAGATATTGGCAATCAAGCTGCCACCATTCGGTAAAAACAGCTCGGTGCCGCGCATCATCCGAAGGGATGAGGAGCCGCGTTCCTCGCATCGTCTTGTCACTTTCTGCTGAAATGGGATTTTTTTCTTCTTCTTATATTTTTTTTATATATATTTTTTATTATTTTTTTTCTTCCTCTCCTTCATACTCTGCGCTGGAAACCGCCCGATGGCTTTACATCTTCATAGAAGCTTTTTTTTTTTCGCGATTTACAATGCAAATAGAGGCCTGCGGAGGGATGGATGGATGGACGGATGGACGGATGGACAGACAGACAGACGGATGGATGCTTCTCACTCTGAAGGCAGCTCGTCGCACCTCATTAGCGGGTTTTAATTTTCCGGCATTAACAGACGGACCGCGGGCTCTCGGTGCTGCCGGGAATCACCGGCCGAAAGGAAAAGTTTGAAGGGAATAAACTTTGAAGGCAACGGATTTTTTTTTTTTTTTGGATGTTGTTAGCCGCACACCAACCAGGTCACGGTTGCGTAAAAAGATGAATATTTTAAAGCAGCGCTAGTGCTCTTGGAGGAAACAACACGCTTGTTTGGCAGAATCTGGATTCTAGCAAGGAAAAAAAAAAACAACAAAAAAAAATAAACAAACCCAAACAAACCCCAAAATAAACAAACAAACAAAAAAGCTTTGAGGGAAGCGAGTTGTTATCTTTGGTTATCTAGCTGTATGAGTGTTTTGGTCTTCATAAAGCTAGATAACCGAAAGTAAAACAACCAGGTCACGGTTGCGTAAAAAGATGAATATTTTAAAGCAGCGCTAGTGCTCTTGGAGGAAACAACACGCTTGTTTGGCAGAATCTGGATTCTAGCAAGGAAAAAAAAAAACAACAAAAAAAAATAAACAAACCCAAACAAACCCCAAAATAAACAAACAAACAAAAAAGCTTTGAGGGAAGCGAGTTGTTATCTTTGGTTATCTAGCTGTATGAGTGTTTTGGTCTTCATAAAGCTAGATAACCGAAAGTAAAAACTCCTTCAAGATCATCGTACAGCCTGCGAAAAAAAATGAACAGACTACCGCCAGAGACGGTAAAAAGCCCGAGAAAGGTCAGGAACGCGTTACTGAACCTAATGCTTCTGCGGCTGGAGGTGGGAGCGGAGGAAATTAAAGGGCATAC